TATATAATATATATATATATATATATATATATATATATAGTTTAATATTTTATTTTAAAAAATAACAAGCTAAATCAGCAACCCTTTATTCGAAGACCCCTTTTTTATATATTATATGATTATATATGTATTATATATTATACGATATTTTTACATTATTATATACAAATATATTAACAACCAATTGTAATGAAAGATTAATTAAAATTATTGAATATTTTGTTTTATTTTAACATAGTCTATGCTTCGTTTTGTTATATTTAGTGCGTGACCTAAAGTTAATACCAATGCATTTTTGTTATGTGTATATCATTTTATGAATAATTTAATTGATTCAATTTATATGAAAATTAGAATTATATCTTTCTTTTATTTCATTTTACTTTTTAAAAAGGCATTATAAAGATTTATAAAATATCATATTATTTCTTGAAATTTGTAATTGTAATTGCTTGTATAATATATTTTTTATGACATTTATGTAGTAATCATATTATATCGATAAATTGTTAAATTTATATGATATCAAATTATAAGTAGAGAAATATAATATTATTTTTATACATTTTTTACATAACAAAAAATGCAAAATAATTATTTTACTATATTTTTTATAAAAATTATAAATATATCAAAAGATAAATGTAATGAAGAGATAAAAATTTCACATGTATAAATATATATATTTTTAAAAATGTAATATTATAATAAAAAACTAATATATACAATATAAGAATTTTAAATTTTGAAACAAAATTTTATTTAAATACTAACAAAAAATGTATAGAAATTAAAAAATAATTAAATAATCTTTTAACAACTTTAAAAATATTTTACGAAATATTTGTTAATTTAACATTTTAAGATTAAAAATATAGTTATATAACAAAAAGTATTTATAATAATATATATATATATATTTGGTTGAGAACTTTAAAAGATCGTATATTATCGCACATTACTAGTTTTACTATTATCACAGATGGATATCATTAGTTTGCATCTGTTTTGTATTTCATTTATAATTTCATTAATACATATGATTCTTTAATTCCATTTATTTCATTTTATTTATATTTTTTTTTCATATAAATACAAGTGGCATAACCTAATAATTTATAAATTAAAATAAAAAGGTAAACATACATATATATATTTTTTTTTATAAGAATTAGTTGCTCTATCAATAATTTTTCAATAAAATTTTCAAGTAAATATTGATACTAATATATATAATTTAATTTTTAGAATAAAATATGTATATATTTAAGTACTTACATATATATATATATATATACATTTCAATTAATTATTTATCTTATTTATCTATAATTTTTCAAAATTTCCATGACTAATGAAAATTCTTATAATGGACATGAGATGTCACTATATATCTCAATATGCTGTTTTTCACATAGTATTAAGTATATATATATATACCGTATATCACATAACCATAAAATAACATCTTAAACTTTCCTAAAATGAGATATGGAAGTTAGTTACTGTTAAAAATAATTGTGAAATTGTATTAATTATAAAGTGATAAAATGTTTATATAAAATAATTATTTGAAAAGAATTTAATTGTTCAATTAAATAACAATTTTAAATAATATTAATCATAAATAACATTATTTAAATGGAAATTATTCGACGTACTCAACAATTGAGTTATATAATTTTACCAACATTTTTGAATTCAATCTCTTTTCATATAAAATATATACATTCAAATTCAACAATACCAATTGTAACACAAGAAATAATAAAGAAAATAGGACAATTATCTTTACTCAAAGTTGATAATGATTATAGCATTTCTGTTTTAAAAGCTGCAATTATTTTTACAGAACATTTACACAATACAAAGATTGATAATGAAATCAAACCTATGTACAGTCCATTTGAAAAAAAATCAATTTTGTTACGAAATGATGTTGTAGAAAATCATGTATCTAAACAAGAAATTCTAAAAAATGCTGCTATTTTAGAAGAAGAATATTTTGTAACACCATTGCAAACTATTTCAAAAACACAATGCAAATAACAAATATATTAAAAGAATTAAGTCCACATTTTATTAACTTTACAACACAAGGACTTAAATATGGACCTCAAGGTAAAATGTTATTGAAAAACCTTGAAGAACAATGGTTTTTACATTGTATTACAATGTCACGTTATAATATGTTTTTATCAGATGAATTTAATGATACTATAAACTTCATTATAAAAACTGAAATGAGTGATATACCATTTGGATTAGCTACAGTAAAAAATTCAAAATATCAATGGGATTCTAATATATTAACTATACAAAAATCAAATTTTCATAGAACTGCAGAAACAGCTATTTTTAATAATGATGCAGAAACAAAAGATTTATTTTATAAAGTACAAAAAGAACGTAAAATTTGGTGGCGAAAATTAGCACAAAATCCTTCTATATTTAAACTAACTGAAGCAAAAAAAATAAAAAATTATACTATAGTTGATATTGAAGCACAATTTTCATTTGGCAATCTTACATTAGAAAGAATAACTTACCATACAGATGTTCAAAAACTATTCTCTCAGGTATTTTGTTTCTTTTTTTTTAAGAAACTTTGTTTTAACTTTTACAAGTTTAACAAGTTTAAAAATAACAATTATTTTTATGGACCATTTTATTTTTAGGTTAATAGTAAAAAAGATTTTATCAACATACAAATGGTTGAACAAAGAATGTCTTTAGATTGGGGATGTTTAGCACTACTTTGTGACATATGTGATATGAATAACTCGACTACAATGCATCTTCATTCCAAATTAGCACCACACAAAGTTGCATTTCATATAAAAAAATCAAATGATAAAGAGAACATTCAAAATGATGATTTAAATCGCTTTGTACTTTACTTAAATAACATCTTAAGGACAAAAGGCCTGAATACAATATTAACCAGTTCAGAAAAAATTATAGATACATGCTTGGTACCTTTCATAATTTCTGTTAATACGACTAGTCTTGAAAATGGCATTATATATATAAAAGATAGAGCAACAACTCTAAGTGAAGCAATACATGTAACCGATTTAGTAAAGTATATAAGTCTGCGTTGTTAATCAACTAATGTGATTATTTGAATAAAATTAATATATCAAAAATTGAAAATATATTATTAGTATAATTATAATTTCTAATTCCTAGGACATGTAACAAATTTTGAAATGATAATCTTCATTTCCAATTATGTACTTTGTATTTTAATATGTTATTCATCATTGAAATGAAATAAGTATCACACATACATTATATATTATTTAAAGATGCAATATGCTGAAAAACCAATGAGAAAATAACAGTTTAAAATATAAATGTAACTATATAGGATAAAGATGAAAAATTATACATGGATGTTTTATGATGAATACAACAAAATGGAATGCTTTACAATTAATAAAATGTATACTTTGTACACGAGCATTCCTCGATTTCTTAAAGATTGCCAAAATTTATATTATATAAATTTAATTAATGATGATATTGCTCCTTTGAGCAATATAGAATTCTTTATGATAATATTTTTATACAACTAAGCAGGTAGTTGTAATTTCTTTCCTTTCAATACTTTGGTAATATAGAGGTAGAAAAAGTCACAATAAAGAATTGTTTGCACTAAACCAGCAACTATAGCAATTAGTTCATAATAATTTTCTGCATAGTAACGATACACCCAGTTTAACAGATATAAGCCTCTATAACATCCCAAAGCGAAAAGATAATGACTGGTAATGCTCTCAGCTTCTCCTGTTTTTGATACCAAAAATAATTGTGGCAATATTGCTACAGATTCCAAATAAATACTAAATGTCCATAGAATTTCTATAATTGTGAACTCATGATTAATTAATAATGCCAACAGTGATGTGGGTAGAATTAAAAATTCAATTCTGAAAATGATTAAGATATTATTAAATGATGAAATGAAATATAACTAGATTTTATAAACAAATTTTTTAAAAGTACATATATATTATTATATACATATATATATTATTTTAATATATTACTATTATATATTACTTAATAAGTACATGCATTATATAAAAAGAACATACCTAAAAGTATCATGATTATGATCATATGTAGCTTTGAATTTCACATACATTAAAAAAACTGTTGTATAGGAAGTTGCAATAAAAATGATTTTCATAAATGTATTGTATGCTGATATATATGTTGTTAACAAATCTAGATAACGCGTTGTATATACAATTGCAAATAAAATTTGCGATTTGCCACTAATACCTATAAAATATACAAAAAATATTATTAAAAATATATTATTAATAATTGATGATTATATTAATAAAATATAAACAATTTTAGATATAATAAACACATAAGTTATATTAATGATATATACCGGCACAGCTTCGTGTCTTCCATATTTTGAGAAGAAGAATAATAATTGCAAGAAGATGTGATAAGTCACCTAAGAGTCGAAATATATTCATATTTTCGGTTATTTAAAAGTAAATTTTATAAGAGGATCGAGAAATACTCCACACTCCTAAGTCACAAAGCATACAAAATATGACGTGGCTTTGGCTGCAACATCAGCAGATGGCTGACCGATCAACATTTAAGTTACATCTTTAATGTCCCCAATAAATATACGTAAACGCGTACAAAATGTACATAAACATTTTATTTTCGATTTTCAAAATTAGATTAATAATAGAGATATTAATCATAATAAAATAGGAAAAAGAAATACAGAATATATGAAATGCTTAATAATATTTTAAACAAATATCTTCATTAATAATTTTGTAATATTATTATTTATATAGCACATATTTATCACATGTCATTTTTAAATTTTAAATATTATATCATTTTAAATATTGTTATGTTTAAAAAATTATACATTATTACGAATGTTTCGTTTTATATTGAATTACTATATTTGAATTGTTACTAGATTAAGTTTAAGATTGATATATATATATATGTACATATATATTAAATATATAATACATATTACATATTCAATATTCTATATTCAATAAGAAATTCATTATATTGAAATAAAAAATAAACAATTTTTAATTCAATAAACTCTAATACATAAAAATTAATTTGATAATAAAAAAATTACATAAATATCTCGTTCTTAAACATCTTATATTATTTAATTAAATATTTGTAAATCACGTATTATTTTAATAATAACATTTTAAATACATTTATATATTTTTTGTTAGGAACACTAATTTAATTACATTAAATTATAATATTTTAAAATTTTTAGTAGTATTTAATAATAAATACGAAAAAATATGTTTTATCAGCCAAATTTATTTTTGTCTATTTTTGTATAAATCTCGATCATCAAAATATTATTAAAATTTATTACAAGATTTATAGAACTTTTTAGCAAGTTATATTAATAAATTGATATCAAATTTGTATGAAAGTTTGTGTCAAATTTACATCAAAAACATATCAAATCTTGACAGCAAAAATATATCAAGTTTTGTTACATTCCCACGTTTTGTTGGCTGCACTGTAATAATCATATTTCTTATAACTTTAAGATAGTTTAGATTTTAGATATGCATACTTACTTATAATTACATATATTTATGAGTTCATATATAAGAATTCAAATTGAAATAAAAATAAGAAAGAACGTAAATCACATATTGAAAATTTAAAATCTCGTTTGATGAGCTATATGTAGTTACAAATTACATATACAACTGTGAATAATTTTTGAATAATTATTAATAATGCATCATGTTATTAATTTGCAATTACGATTATAAAGAAATAATTTATTAATAGATTTTAAAATAAAAGAACAAATAATACAAAATAAACGAAAATAAATAACGAAAACTATTTTATTTTTAGCTAATTTATTTTTTCTGAAAATCGTTTTTGCTATTTTTTTAAATTAAGTTATAAGGAAATAATTATTTATAGAATTTATAAAATATTGAATATTATTAATTAAAATTGAATTTGTTCGAAATTATTTATAAAATATACTATTTAAAACTAAGAATAAAATAAAAATTATTAAATAAATATATATATATATATATATATTTCAAAACAACGATTAAATTGCATTTTGTAAATATTTATATATTGCTTTAAAAATAAAAACTTCCATAATTTTTTTTGTTCATATGTATGTCATATCATAAAAATGATTTTATCTTTGCTTCAAGACAATTATTTGAAGTCGTATCTATAAATATATATGGTTTAAGTTCGTCACTTTTATTAATTTAGAACAAATGAGAATAATACTAATGTAAAATAACGGTTTCTCTGTTCAATGGAACATTACTTTCGTTCATCACGTTGCTATTTTCTAATGTCATTGACAACTATTTTATTCTGATATCTGGCAATTGTTATATTTTATAATATTTGAGTAAATTCTATCTGGTATTAAATTATGCTATGTACTTATCTTACTTTTTTGTTCATATCAATGTGATAAATTTTGGTACTTTTATTTATATAAGAGTATCAGTTTAAAAAAGTTGTTAACTTATTAAAACGTGTATATTTACGTAGATATAATATAATCTTTATTAAGAGTTATTAATTAACAGTAAATAACCTGCATTATACATATTTGTTTTATACGAAAATTTTAATATGACGCGATGGTTTTATAATCGTTATTATTGAATTAAAATCAATTATCAAGATGACATCGCCTGCAGTTTCAAAGGTATATTTTATAATTCTGAAATTATAGATATATTTTATAAAATCAAAAAAGAAATATTATATAGATATTATTATAATATTATTTAGAACCAAAATCATTTATAGAAGTTATTATTGTACAAAAATAATAAATATAATAAGTAATAAAATAAATAATAAATATAAATTTTAAATTTTTAATTCATTTTCATTATTTATTTATATATTAATAAATTGATTAGATTTTGTTTTATTACATTATTTTATTATATAAATAATTGGCTATAAACCTTTCTCACTTATTTTTGATTTGAAATATGTTACAGTATAAAGTATAAAATATTATATTTTTTATTTTATTTTATTAAATGTATGACTAAATAAATTTTTTTATAAATTTATATAAAGTTATCTTAATAACAAAAATATTCAATTAATAAAATTTATTAATATTAATTTTATGTTATTGAATCAAAGTTGAATATTTAACATTTTAAAATCTTAGTGTATTTAATTTTTTTATTGCTATATTTAATTTTGCTTATATTTAATGTTTTAGAATATACATTCTTTCTCATCATTATTCTCATAAATTGAAAATTATTTTTATAAGTGATAAAATATTAATTTTGAATAATAGTAATTATGTATATTTAAAAAAATTATACTTTTTTTTATCTTTAATATAAATAAATTATTGAAGTATTAAAATTAGATAATATTATTATTTACTATATTACTACAACTATAATTTTAGGTTTTAGTTGCACCTTCCATACAAGAATTTAGTATCAGAGTACCAAAGTATGTAATTTTTTTTTAATTATAAATATTTTTATAGAATTAATTTTATTAATAAAATATTATATTGTTATTTTAGAAATAATAAAAAAAACATAATGTAATGCGTTTTAATGCAACATTAAATGTTGATTTTTCAAAATGGACTCAAGTGAAAATGGAACGTGAAAATAATATGAAGGAATATAAAGGAATAGAAGAGGAAATGCCAAAATTTGGAGCTGGATCTGAATTTGGACGAGATGCAAGAGAAGAAGCAAGAAGAAAAAAATTTGGTATTACAAGCAGAAAATATAAGCCAGAAGATCAACCTTGGATTTTAAAATCTGGAGGAAAAACTGGAAAAAAATTTAAAGGCATAAGGGAAGGTGGTGTGAGTGAAAATGCTGCATATTATGTTTTTACACATGCTGCTGATGGAGCTATAGAAGCTTTTCCATTGCATGAATGGTAATTTGATTATTTGAACTATTAAAAATTTAAATTATTATTATATTATTTTATTAAAATTTTAATGCATGTAATTTATATTTAGGTATAATTTTCAACCAATTCAGAGATATAAAGCTTTGAGTGCAGAAGAAGCAGAGCAAGAATTTAGTCGTAGAAATAAAGTAATGAATTATTTTTCATT